TTGTCAGATTACCGACCAATTCCGACGTCGATACGACGTCAAAATGAAACGTTTGTTAGACGTCGGGGTTTCAACGTTGGTTCAACGTTATATGAAGGTCGCCGACGTCGCGACCAAATTTCAACGTAGATCCAACGTTGTGTCAACGTCGGGTGTTTGCTGGGATGTGGTCAAAAACTAGGTCACATCACTCCAATATGTAGTTAACCTTGTTAAAATTTTAATGGTCACATTGTGGACTCAAACTTGGTCTGGATGCTTGTTTAGTAAGTTGCTTGGAGGAGTACGAACATGGGCCAAATTTGATGAAAAACTAGGTCACAGGAGCTAAAAACAAAAATGAATTGTTATGTCTCTAGTGGCTACTGTTGTTATCTAAATATCCTGGAAATTTCTCTGCAATTTTGTTATGATGATTTCTAAGTAAAGTTCGAATATTGGTCAACTAGAGTCAAAAACTAGGTCACACTGCCCAAATATAGAAAAACCTTGTTAACAATCTAGCGGTCACATGTTTGACTCAATTGTCATCAAACAAATGCTTGTCTAAGTAATTGCTTGACTGAGTTTGATGGGTAAGGTAAGCGATCAATGGCCATCTTGGCCCTCTTGTTTTGTCTCTAATTACGGCAAGTATCAACACAAATTTATTACTTTTCCCTAAATATCTAATAAGTTCCCTGAATTCCCCGACCTTTTTCTATCTTTAGAGGAGTATTCGTTTGGGTTTCATTGTTATTCGTCAACAAGGCTAGCGTTATCGTTTTTCAATAGACAAATGGACCAAGAAAGTATACATGATATTTTTAATTTGATTAGATATAAAATACAATGAATAAACTATTATTTTTAGAAATATTAGCCATTTTCCAACGTTTACATGTAATGTATGCACCTGTCTCTTTTGTCTGAAAAAGGACATAAAACGTTTTCTAAAATTTTATTGGCGTAAGCAAAGAATTTAATAATCACACAGAATATATAATATTAACGAAACATACAAGCAGTTTTCACTTTGCATTTGTCATGAAACATACACGACAAATAATTTGACGCTATTATAAAGTATGTATTCTACACAACATTTTTTTCTTTTTACACAATACTTAAATCAAAAACAATGATACCAGTTCTGGATACAGACGTTTACAGTTGTTTACGTGACGTCACAATGTAGCGCCAAATATCGCGTGCAAAATAAGACGAAATTATATATGTCTGCGCGCTGTACATTTGCAGTTGCGTAGCAGGCAATAGGGTTCGTAACATTTTTTCTTTGATAATGAAATTAAATAAAAAGGTCCCGGCTCGTGAAAATATGTGGCATTTTATCATGTTTCATGAAAATATATTCCATATTTCACTCAAACGAAAAAATAGCCTCTTAATATACATAGAAGATGGACAAATATAATATGTATAAATAAGAATGCTATCAACACACATGGATTAGTTAAATTCAGATATAACATGTCATCAAGATACTTATACTTTTGGCTGATATCGCCCTCCATAATTTTTTTAGGTTAATTAATTTCTCAATGAATTACAAATCAAAGTAAGTTCCTTTGTGATTGGAAGTAAGCAATATACATTTATGCACGAAGTTAGTAATTAAAAGAAATAAACTCTGGAAAAAATCGTTTAAAACACTTATTATTTAAGCACCGGTATCCATTGCAGTTTCGAAAATATCCGAGGTCGACTCATTCTTTTCCGTGGCAAAGCGTATGAAATAATTGATTATTTCTTCAACAGGAATACGTCCGTTTACAGGGTTAAAAGCCAGGAACATTTCATCGTCTTTTGCAGTATCATTGTGTTGAGATGCAAACATGTCAGTCAGAAATTCTTCTTTTGAAATGAAAGAATCATTGTTCAAGTCCATTGTTTCGCACCAGCCTGAAATGTAGTCACGTATCATCTCAATGAAAATACTTTTGTCCGCTTCATATCTTTCCTTCATCATTTCTGTAAAGTCAACTTTTGTGATTTCCTTCGTATTGTTTAACATAATAGACCTCCATATCCGGTCCATTCTCTTTTCGATTTCTGTCAGGTGTTCGTCACTCAGGTAGTCAAGATCTTTGTAAAATTTCCTGTTATAAATATCATCGTGGTTATTGAAATATTTAAAGTTACATTAAATAAATATGTAAACATATTTTTACGTCGGCCTAAAAATCAAACATTCTACAGTTTCATTAACCTGTTTAAAAGTTTTGTTGTAAATCTCATCAAATATTATTCATAAATTAGGATTTTAAACGGGAAACCCCACGGTAACACTAAAGTTCGTATACGAATTTTAACATGCAAATGAAGACTATAATGAGCTCGTGTATGCGCTACGTCACAGTTTTATAGTTGCTATCCGGAACACAACAAATGTGATATTTTCTTGTGCAAACACACTTTAACCGTTTAAGCTTCACGGTGCACTAAACCTGGGGTTCAGTAAAAGTAATATAAATTTGTATGAAAACATCCGTTACAATGCGGAAATATACCGTTAAATTAGGACAGCCACTTATAATCATGTTTGTTGATTTAATATTGATGTACGGATGATTCGAAGGCGGAGTTTCTCATGCAAATAGAAATTGTACTACCCATTTCGCCACAATGAGGTTGTCCATTTTTATGCTTATAAAACTCATTTTGGTTGTCTGGACACCAAAGTAAGATCTGGAGTCGATATAAAACCCAATTTATTAATGAAATGTCGCTATTTAGTTTTTTATGAAATTTATTAAATGTAACTTTAAAAGCATTTATATAGTTTCTTTGATACCATATGACTATTCAACCTTTTTTGTCATTTAAAAATCAGAAATTAAAATACATTATTTTTCTAAGCATCAGTATTTGAAGAAAGTAGCGCTACAAACATACCATTTTACTTTTAATAATACCTTTGATATGACGGCAAAAGATCGCATTGCTCCAGGTTACATTTTTTTTGGTTTTTAAAACTCTATTTTTTTTCAATTTGCCTATTTACAAATTAAAAAAGATACAAATTTCAATTTCGCTATGATTTAATTTTGAAGCTATCTTTGAGAAGATTTTCTCCTATATATTCTTAAATGAATAAAATATGAATTTGTCGTCATTTTTTGGAACTGATGACTTAATTGGCTATTTGAAAACACCTGTGCGTTATATTTGCCCTATTTACATGTTTTCGATTAAAATATATTTTCTAACTTACTTACTCAAACAGTTTAATGTCATCCATTGACAGAACGCCATCATGATTGAAATCATTGGAAGTATACAACTTTTCCCACTTTTCAATCAGGTATTCGTTTGCCTAAAAAAGACAAATATGCTGTTAAAAAGCAGAAATGTTAAAATCGTTTTCTACGGGATCATATACCTTATCAGTAATATAGAAAGTTTAAAAACAAGTTTGTTTGCTGCAAAGTACTTAAAATACAATGTCTTGGTAAACAAACAAGTGATTAAAACGTTTCGAATAGGTTTATTTCTGTTTAGACATTGAATATAATGCAGTTGACAGGACACTTGAGGCCCAATCACATGAATAAATTTAGTTTATTTCGAGAACATTCCCAGAAGCTTAGAAGCAACATAAAGAAAAAGCGTTTTTACAATCATAAACTTTCGAGAATGCCGAAAGTGAATATCATTTTAGATGAAATAAATCTCGGCTCTGATGAAAGTGAATATCATTTTAGATGAAATAAAACTCGGCTCTGTCCAATAATAAACTTACCTCGAAAAAGACAAAGCGATGCTTTAGTATGAAGAAGTATAGCCAAAGATAATGCATTGTTTGAAAGACCTCACGAGAAACTCAGCAAAACAATTAAATGGTACATGAATGAAAAAGGCAAGGTCTACAGAGCATGTCTATTCTCATGTATTGGACCGAACTCTCAACACTTTACAGACATCGTTTGAAGAAGCTGTATCTATTCTTGACGTGTCATCTTTGAAATCAAAGCCTAAAGGACAAAGAGACATTTGAAGCAGAGACACATCAAGATGAAATATTGGACAGAGCTCTCAAAGAAATGAACAGAAACACACTGTGAAGAAGCTGACAAAAACATAGACTGCAAATAAAGTTTTAGATAAAGCATAAAATTATGACAGTTATGTTCAGATAGAGCAAACGATGGAATAGTAGATTACAATTTGCAGTTGTGTAATACAGTCTGAAATGGGAATACATTTTAATGTGTGCAGCTCTATTGCAAGTAAATGATATGATGTGATGACAAACAATTATGATGAAATTTTCATTGTAGGCACACAACAAATGACTCCGATTTTGTCACAATTGAGATTTATAACACTTACTTTGCTTGTGTCTGACTCGACGTTCACAGAACCCGCAGCGGCTACAAATGAAATGTGTGGGGAATGTAACAAACACTTAATAAAATGAGAAAAAATTATAAACGTAATATTCCTCCGATAAAATTTTTAATAACAACTAAATGATTTCAAATCAGTATCAAAACAGTTTTAGACGTCGGAATATTGTACGAAAATTCTTATTGTACATATTTCGTGATGTATTTTACATGTTACCAAATGTTCTTAAAATTGCTACATTATGCATAGATTATATAAAAAAGTAAACCAAGTTTCTAAAGTGATCATGCTTCCTTATTTCTCAATTCAAATGTTAGTTGTAAAACTCGAACATGCTTCTATTTTGCAAGTGCTCTTATGTTTTAAAACTTCAAAAAGAAACATAATTAATGTGCCTGAAGATACAAATACATGTTATTATGTTTCTTGTACATAATTAAATGACATAATGGTAATAATAATAATGACAACTTTATTTAGAGGAGGTAAAACATTAAGACAAACAGATTTGTCAAACCTTATTAACAAAGCGGCCGTTTACATAACATCATATCAATCGAAGAAACTATAACATGTGAAAGAAATCATTTAATGGTAATCATATTTTACCACACATACTGAACATTCATACAATATATTTATCAACTTTCATAAAACACATAGATATGTATAATGATTCGTTTTGATTGTAGAATTACAATTATATGTAAAACCCAAACTATAAATAAAACAAAATGGTAATCTTGTTTGTTCCAAGTGTATACTAAATTTACTATGTAAGAAATAGTAATAATAAATACATTTCATTCTTTAATCAATCAAAACAATTTTTAACTTAAATAGATATACCGAAATTATATCCTTAAAAAGGAAAACTAAAGATATGATTTAGATGTAAACAAAATTTTTTATACTATTACCCTAAATTCGACAAACCTTGATACTTTTTAAGGTTCTTAACTCATACAGATTAATTGATAAAATGTTAAAATAACTGATTTCAGTCTGTCTTCTGAAAACCATATAGTTAACTTACTATTGAAATACAATACCAGTAGGCTATAAGCCTTTATATTCGTCATCGTCCACATCATATACAGACGTAAAATGACACTATATGTCTATGTGTACGAGTCTGCAATATATATATAATGCATATTCAGCTGCATGAAAATGATATACATTTAATTTTCCAGTCTAGACAATATTGTAATGTTGTATTATTCAAATACAAGCAAATGTAAAAGTAAATAATATCTTATATGTTTATAATTAAATGAAAATTAAGTAGCCTCACGCCAATGTACGAGTAATATAATAGAAATATTTTGTTGTCGTTCAAAATATAAACGTTCTATCTTATTTTCAGAAAAGAACAAGCATTGATTTTATTTGGAATGTAATAGTGACCATTGAATTTAACGTCAGTAAAAAAAAAAAATGTCTATGTTCACAGTCATTATGTTCCTTTAAAATTTTCATTATTACATTTACATGTCATTTAGTTTTAACAATATTTTATTTACAATCGTTTCATATACTAATAAATTGATTAACTAAATTTTACTGATTAATACATGTAAGCCAGCCTTTTAAACTACTTCCGTATTTCATCCCGTTTGTAATAATGAAAATAAATATACTGAAAGCTTCTGCATATATGGAGGTAAAAAGTGTTATTGTCTCTATATAAACCTTTTTTACACAATTAATTATAAACTGAACTGAAACACTTGCAACAGTTCCCTGGTTGATAAAATGTTTGATACTTATCGAATTGTATGCAACATTCTCAAAGCATTCCTTATAGGGATTTCACTGAGGTTTTTTTTACCTGACTGAAATGGAAATATTTTTTCCGTGATTTGTGTATTTTTATCTTACTTTTTACCCAGTAACCTGTGTGCAAATCTTTATCTCATTCCGTCTTCCTGTTTTTCCAGAAAAACTTTTTTATTCAAAGCTTTTTAATCAAATCCGGCTAAGAATCGCATACAAATCAGTTTTCAATTTTTCTTTTGAATATACATGTCATTTAAGTCCTTCAGTTGATATTTGTAAGATTGTTTGGGCATTACATGTTTTCGTTTGAGAAATGCTGATCAAAAGTGATCACTTTTTCGGAGCCGCTCCCTATCAAAAAGGTACATGAAGTGGGGAATGTGCCCCCTTCTGTTTTGGGAGTTTGAAGGGCGGTGATCGCCAAGAAAATTCTGGACATGTGCCAGGCTAAAAATGGCCTCAAGTCGATCGTAAGGTAACGTGTAATATACGCTGAAAAGCCATTTACTCTATCTCAATCCATTGAGAAGTTGCAGCCCTTTGATATCAGTTTTGATTAATCAAACTATGCAAAATAATGATTTTTAGCAATTTTGAGACATCCCGCCGTTGACATGGTATCAGGAAATTATAGATTGAGCATGCTGTTACAGAGAATATGGTCCAGTTAACTATTGTGCCATTGGACGCCACCTTTCCTTGATGATCTTGTTTATCATATTTCATTTATCATATTTCATTAGTACTGGAGCATTTACAAAGTTTCATAGTAGTTTGAACTTGTAACAGGAGGCTTTTCAATGAAAACGGCCATTTCCACAATATGCTCGTGAGGTAAAGGGTTAAGGAATACCAAATAGTAATAAATGTAGTAAATTATTCTGATTTTCTGGTTTTTACTTCTGTATATTGATAACGAAGTAATGTTGGTATTTACATGATCAAACATCTTTTTAAAGTTGACATTATAATTTTCTTAGATGCCTTGATTTAATATATATTCCACACATGCATTAGAAACAACTTTAGTTACATGGTTGTCGTCCTTTGTTGGTCAGTAATAATTATGTGTAACCGTTTGGAAATCAATCATTATATTCTAAAAGGAATACTTTACAAATACTACACATACTGCATTACCTGTTCACAATGTGTTTCCACAAAGTGCATTTTAACCTTCATATTTAAACTGATTTTACTTTATTTACCTTGCTTAGCTTACATTAACACCACTTCATTCGTGTTGAAATTTCATGTGTGAACTCCACATTGGACAAAAGAGTCATGCTTTTTATGTGTGAAATCTTACTCGACAAAAGAGTTTGAGTTGAAAATCTACATGATTATCTCAAAATAAAATGACAAAATAATGTAAATACTACGTGTTGCTTAAGGCTTTTTAAAATGTTGTTTCACCATATCATCTGTCATGAACCCCTAGATTATCTGTGATGAAGTGCTTCAATGTAATATTTTCAAAACATCCAAACTCTCCTAAAACAATAATTATTTCCATTATATCTTTAAAAACTGTCAACGATTGTTGAATTATATAATGTTTAAGAAATAAATATAAGATAGAACGTTTTATTATGATAAACTTATATAGGTTTTCACATGAGTTGTTATAGAGTATAATATTGTTGAGTACACCACTTATTATAATAAGTTGAGTACTACTACTACATTTTATTGGACGAGTACAGCTACGAGGAGCTTGGAATCACGTCTTATGGAATTAGTTTCGTATGCAACAATGTAATTAATTTGACATTTTGCCCGCAATTTTTTTCTTTGCGTATGTAGTGCTTTGAATTAAAAAAAAAGTTGTTTTTTTACTCTGGAAACGAAAACAAACTAAGCAATTGCCATTAATAAGAAATTAAGACTTTAAAATGAAAACGACACAAAATTGAGTACAAGCGTTATTGTACATGGCTTTTGTGGACACGTAAAATATAAAATACGTGGCATCCAATAATTATTTATATTTGGTAGGTCACATGGTGCAAACGCTAAAATTGCATTGGTTATTTTTTCTAAGTTGTCAATTGAAACGGTAAGAATCTTTTGATCACACGACTTAGCGTATTTAAAGACAAGAAAATTAACTGGTTGAACAATATAAGAGTAAAATTTTACTTAGCCGTTTTTTATGACATTCTTAAGCGAAAAAAAACCATTACGATGTTATATAACACGTGTTTAATATAAAGAAAAAACGTAATAATCATTTTATATACGATGTGATCTAATGAAAATGATGAAAATGAATTATTATAACTTCCTTAAAATCAAATGACTCTAAAAATAAATGAATGTTTGAAAATGAATACAATATTATAATGTTTGATAAGCAGAAAATAAAATGCAACCAGTATGTTTGAATAATGCAGACAAGATACTTGTATTGAACATTTTAATCATAGTACATTTATTTTACTTAAAAATCAGACACTTTATTTCTTAGAAAAATGAAACATCAGCGGATCAGAAACACACAATTTGGCCTTTTCAGTATTTGAGAAATTATGAAATAGAGGGAAATAAAGAATCCCTAAAGAACATACAAAACGACAAAAGTATTTTGAAAATTAATTTATAATAATGTTTCTTTAATTAATAAGGCTGCTTTGATGCATGTTAACAATTCATATTATATGTTATTGAACATATCCACACCTGTTCAATAAATTAAAAGACAAGCGTGGAGAGCCTGTTGTATAAATTGTTTTAATTGCATCTGAAAACACATTAGTTAATAGTTCTAAGACATGTAAATATTTGAATATCAGCTGGCGATTTTAATACTGTATTATTGTACAGTGTATACCTGAAATATTGTATTCCAGTATTATAGGTTGTGATAATCAAAGCAAATTGTTATTGCATATGCCTCGCAGAAAATAAAATCAAGTATATAAGTTTGTAAGCAATTTCATTGGAACAGCTAATATCCTATCAGAGAAGAGTGGTCATTTACATTTTATTAATACTTGACCACTTACTATTTTATAAACAAAGTCTTTGAAAGTGCTGAAGAAATGGAATTAAAAAATTAAATATCGAGGACTAGATGTTAGCAATTAGAAGTTCAAACAGCAAACAGAACATTTTTATAAGCAAAATAAAGATAATCGATTGTACATGACATGGATGAACCATTGCTGGGTCAGGCCCGGAAATATTATCGATGCTAATAAAAAGGATTTAACACTCTAATATTTTGTCAAGTATACTAAGTTGTTTTGCTTCTAGACTGGAAACTGTTCTTGCAATACCTAATACATTAAGTTCGAAATCAGTAAATGACATTTTTCTATTATCTAAACAAGGCCAAAAACGTTCTTCACTAAGAACGTACTGTCAATTTTTATTTTAACTTAGAACAGGATATTTTACAAAAGGTATAACTAGTGTAAAGTTTTTTTGTTAGCTGTCCAATTAAATGTACCACTACTATAATATGTTTCTAACCTTGCACACAATTGTCATGGATATCTGGCCTGTTTCATTGTTAACAGCTTACACCAGCTGTTTTCACAGATACACAGACATGAATTAGGTAGGTACATTTATATTTACAAAGGTAATTTACCACATTTATCACATTCCTCCAGTACTGTTGATTTTTTTTAAATATAACTCTCTTAACACAAACATCCCTTTTACGTAAATCATTATATACGGTCTCAGGTATTAAAAACCCAAACTTGTGAGTGACAATATATTAACCGTTTTACGAAAACAACTAACAATTTTAGGTATCCGTTAGTGATGATCCAAATATGGTATCTCGTTTGGCGAACCACTAAATTACCGTTATTATGCTGTTATTCTGTTACTAGATGTTATTCTGAGTCTTGGGGTAGATTAAAAAATAGATATGTAAAACAGCGGGGGTAGGGTGGCGTGCAACAACCACAAATACGCAAGCTTATTGATTCTGATTGACATTGGTTATTTTCCGAGATCTGCCAAATAAATGTGTACCAACAATATCCAAATAATATATATAATGGCTAGAAGCGGTTACAATTAGCAGTATGTTTGTTATTCTACTCCGTCTGATATTTCACTAATGTTTTATATACAACTTTGACGTATGATAAACGGTCCTGATAATTATGTCAAATGTTGTTTTAAAATCAACGTAAATAAAATGGAATTTTCCTTTTATTTGGATTTATATTTCTGTGACATGTGTCGTTTACTGTAAAAATTATTTAAAAAAACACGCACAAAAACATGCCGTAAACTTGCATGTGACACGTTGAGAATTTGAAATGTTGTAGGCTCGGTTTGATTGGTATTAGTAATTGTAAGCTACTGTCCACAAGCCATCGATTTTTTGTATTGCTGTTATTTACCCCTGAGTGAATTTTTATAATCATCGACAGTTAAATAAACCCACACTGGCATTGCCATCACACTTTTGTTTAATCGCGTTGTTACTTATTTTATGAAAGAAACATATTTTCTGTTATAAACTAAAGCACTAACGGCCTTATTTCATTGTGCGTTCGTATCCACGAGATGTTTGTGTTCTGACTTTGAAGACAGAATTAAATAATCTAATTTCCTTTCCATTTAATAGGGTCGAAGGTACAGATAAATTTTGCGATGATGTATGTACTCAAAATCCAATAGTCAAGATATTAAAAAGTTAAACTATCTTTGTATTGACTCTTATTACTTTTTAAATCAATTGGAATTTGAATTAATACTAAGTTATAAATAAAAGCAAAAAGTTGATATTTTATATTGTTACAGGCTCTAATATAAAAATATGTTAAAAAGTAAGTAAATCAACATGTATGTATGATTTATGAACTAAGTAAAATGTAATTCGTCGTTATTTAAATATGTACAATTAAGCACATGATGTTTTCTTGATGTTCAATAAATTTTCATTCTATAAATACATTAAAATGTTACCGAAGGATTTGTTTTATTTATTATTGTTTTACTAACATACCTAATCAGTCCTCAAATCAAACTGTAATGACACTGTATCCTATTGGTTTCCATAGATAAATAAACAAATATAAATCAGTTATAATACCGATTCATTTGAGTATAATAAATTTGACTGGATATTTTCAAGTTTACCATATATTTTATTATTAATCTATATTTATCGTAAAGAAACTTAAACTATTTAAAAAAAAAACAGAAAATAACAACTTCAATTGAAGATCTACTGAATGTTTACAAAGTGATAACTTCAAAAATGCAAAGTATTGATCTTTTGTTATTGTATCATTTACATTTTATCTTAAGACAACGTCTGTTTAAAGCTATATTATGCTCGAATTTGATATTTGAAAATATTGAAAATGGCTACATTGTATCTATGTTAATATAAAATCAACATGTTTAGACTTCAAACAAAACATGTTTTATATTTTACACACTATAGGTGACCACAATATGAGTATACAGTGTCATAAAAAACCTGGCAGATTTTTGTTTAAAAAGGACCAATTTTATTTGACCTGTAATGGGGAATACAGCGTCCCATTAATAGTTTGAAACTCTTTTATTCAAATTAGATATCTTCACTAAAAATTTCATAGATTTCAATAACTTTTTGCGGTAAAATTATTTCACTCAAAGATAAGCATAGTATATCTTTAAACATAAATACATATGTAAGTTACGACCAAAATATCGTGCTTAAAGAGAAATCGGTTTTCATTTCCTCCATCTTTGTACTTATATTGTAAAATAAATTTTAACGCTTTCCATGTAATGCCATTTTAAAATTGATTGTAAGACTCTTACACTGAAAGAGACAAATTCATCCAAGGCATATAGATTTATTTAGAAAAACCTGCGCTTCACAAGTGATATACATTCAATGTTATATTGAAACAAATATGATTTTAAACGACAGTCCCTAAAATATTCAATTGGTTTTGGTTACACTGTCAAGAAATGTATTCATGACATTACATTAAATTAACAATCTGTCAAAAGATAACAAAGTAACATATCTGTTTTTGTCACGATCGAATGCCTGTTGTGGTATCTGTAGTCATGAATTCGGTACTGTTATAACAAATAACAACCAAACATTATTTAAAAACCAGAATCTAATGCATCTTGAAAAACGTCAGGGGTCGACTCATTCGTATCCGTTGCAGAGCGTATGAAATAATTAATCATCGTTTTAACAGGAAAACGTCCGTTTACAGGCCTAAAGGCCTGGAACAATTCATCGTCTGCTGCAATTGTATTGTGTCGAGATGCGAACACGTTAGTAAGAAATTCTTCTTCTGAAATAAAATAGTCATCGTTCAAGTCCATCGTTTCGCACCAATCCGAGATGTACTCGCGCATCATTTCAGTAAATACTTCTTTGTCTGATTCATATTTTTGCTTCAGCATCTCTACAAAGTCGTCTTTAGTGATTTCCAATGTGTTGTTTAAAATTATTTTCCTCCATATTCGATCCGTTCTTTTATTGATTTCCTTTAAGTGTTCGTCACTCAGGTAACCCAGGTCTTTGTAATAGTTCCTGTTATTAATACAATACTGATTACTGTATTTTTTTCATTAAACTTATTAACATCATTAAGATTGTCCTTTTAATATTTTTTGATTAAAATCCTATTTCTTAAGTTAATGAAAAGAGAATAAAAAAATGATAATATAAGCAAAATTACATTACTTTGATATAGAAAACATATTTGAAAGAAGAAGCACTGCAAAGCATTTCGATTTGCTATGCTGACTATACTGACCCTAACATGACGATATATTCGTTAATTGTCAGGTTATTTCCAACTTCACAGAATATATATTAAATATGTCATATCTGTTTTAATATAAGCTTTATTATACGGAACAACGAAAGACACAATTATACAAAAATATTTTATTGTTTTTTAAAAGAAATATTTTACAACCTTTTATCAAATAATGGGGCTTTAAGTTTGTCTCCCAATCATATAAATACGTGCTCATTGTGATACATTTGGCTACGCAGATGAGATCAGATAATATGTACTTGACTGTTTCGTAATATTATTTCTAATAATTGCGGATGTTTTTTTTTACTACATATTAATTTCTTACTTACTCAAATAGTTTAATATCATCCATTGAGAGAACTCTATCACGATTGAAATCATTTGCATTAAACCAGCTTTCCCACTTCTCTATAAGGTATCTGTTCGCCTAAAAAACACCATGTTTAAAAGCAAGAAAATAATGAAAACATAGTTTTCTGCAAATTCATGAAACTGATAAGTGATATAGATAGAACAAAATGCCAAAATCTCTGCTTTCGGATTTAAAATATGATAAAATTGATAGAAAACCCTGGTAAAATGAATAAAATGTAAAGTGCAGTACATCTGTTGTCCAGTAATGATAGAAAATTCAAAGAGTTCGGAAAGATATCTTACATGCACCGAGGAAGTTAGGTATAAATATATTTATAATGAACATTGAAGAAATTCCCCATCAACACTTAAAAAAAGATTTAAGATGTATCAAGTATTATGTTGATTAAGTCAAATCCAATAATGTCATCCAGAATAAACTTTCTCTGTAAACATAGTTTGAAAGCCAAATTGATGCTAATATATAAAAGGAAAATAGTCATTGATTAAAAGCATTGCACTATGTGTCGAATGTGTAAGGCAAAATCAACATAGTATTTGTTGTTGTTTTTTCTGGTATGAAGCCGATTCCTGGAGAGTTTGCACACACTATGTGAAGAAGCTACATGCCTTCATTTTGTTTCATCTACGATCTATTCCTAAACGAAGCTGTAGGGACAAATTGACAATTAGAGAACAGCTTGAAAGAACATAATTATAAAAATATAGAAAATAACCGCGGCAAGACTTTGGCTATTGAAAGATTTCCGAACAAGATAATGTTCTCACAATAACTGATTGGGCATAACAAAATATGAAGTTGTAGTCAAGGATATTGTCATCAGAAATTCAAAGCAGAGAATCTCATGTTGGAATCATGGGCAAAGCTGTCACAACAAAAATACAAACGTCATGTATGTGGTATAAATGCAGACGTTGTTGGTGTTGAATAAGATTGTTTTATTTAGAAAACACAAAGAATCGGATAAGAGATGAGTATTTGTACACAATATTCAGAATTGAACACTTACATTCAGCAGAAGCCTTGCATTTAGCTTCAAAACCACGTGGATATATTTCACTGTATGCGGATGAAATGAACAGTGCCTACAGTACGCTCACCGCGGGTTTTGCTTGTTCCGCGATACCACCGCGGACGAATTTTTTTTATCGCGGATAAACGCGGGGGTTCGTCCGCGATGAGAAGCCTAATTTCCCCGCGATCCCCTGTGTTCAGTTGTTTCCACCGCGGACAAAATTCTGACGACCGTTCTTCATTTATCGATAAAATCAGTCACCCGTTTCCCGCTGGGGAACGCCATGGTCAGTTGGTCAGTATAAATTAACCTCCAAAAATAATAGACGTTTTATTATTTTTTAACGTCATCTTTTTTACACAATGACTTGAAAATTGACCACAATCGTCTCCTTAAATGTTATTATACGTTAAATTATTTGAACGGAATTTGAAATAAAAATAATTACAGCTGTACCTGTTTTTGTTGTTGTTTTTAATATTTTTGTTATAAACGTCCACAAAACTATTCGTCCACTAACCAATATTTTTACAACTGAAATCGTCATTTATCACTGTCATCTTTACTTGTTCATTCCTTGTGGTTCTATAAGTATTATTGCTGTTAAACTATATGGGAGCCATAAATATGATACTTAGTAAAAAAAGGACATTTGTGCTGATAACTCAATGATGACTGACGCTACAGTACATGTCCTGTAAGAGGTCGATGAGTGTGAATACAAAACAGGACATAAATAAAATACATGTACATATATTTGAAATAAAAGAAAAAGATATTTAAACCATCTATAAGATTTTATTTGTATGCAATTATATTCTTTAAAAACGGGTAGACTTGTTTGTTTGTGTTTTTTTTTACAGTAAAAAAACCGTCGAAAATGGACATGAGAAATATGCATGACACTTGCCAAAAAGTTTATGTATACTGTACATACCGTATATATATTTGACACAAATTCAAAAAGGTTCTCTTTGCCATCATGTCAGATATTGTCGGATATTGTATATTGTCAGATATTGTATATTGTCATATTTTCTATATTGTCAGATATTGTATGTGTGAAAAGGGGACATGTCGCCGCTACTTAATATGTATTTAAATAGTAGTATTTTACATAAATGTTCATAATTCGTTTGTGCTACACAAAGAGAGCACTTTAAATGCTTTAAATTTAATTTGCGTCCTTAGTAATTAGTTAGATTAAGAATATCATTTTATGTATATTTTGGTGAAATAATCGCTTTCTTTTAATGTTCCAAATAAAATATAAGACTTTATGATCAACATGCAAATAAACAGAAACAGTAAAACGCATCTGACAATTGAAAGAGACGTCCTGGAATATTGCCTGAATAAAATTGTTAAGGGTTACGTTTTCAAAGTTTTTAAATAAGAAACAAAAGCTGGCATATAAATTGTTGTAGTATCTTTTTCATAAATGTCATATGCCGAATTTTTCATTATTTGACTTCATGTTTCTCACTACCATGAAGTTGCGACGACAATGATTTATCTTGATGTCGAATACATATTATACATTACCCAACACACTAACAAGAAGAAGAATAAGAAAAACACTGCATTTGTACATGTACTTTTATTACAACAAAAAAGAAAGAAAACAAACAAATTTTACATATAGTTACATGTATATGTACAGTACATGTTACAGTACATGTACGTACGTGTACTGATGTTTAAATACAGTAATTAATTTTTAAAATTTAAGGTTTCCACCGCGTTGACCGGTGTTTGACCGCCGCGTTCCTCCGCAATTTACCACTGCGTTCCGCGGGGAAACGGTTTCAGCCGCCGATTTATGTCCGCGGTGGTGAAAATTTTCTGTCCGCGGGGTCACGTGGACAATATCTGAGCAAATTTTCGTCCGCGGTAAACCTCATCCGCGGGGTCACGTGGGTTTTGAAAAAGCCGCGCTGAGCGTACTGTAGTTTACAAATGACGACAACATACGAGTATAATAATTTTCAATGAAACCTTCTTATCAAGTAAACAACCAATTGTTTCCAATTCTGTGTTACAAGGGAGACGTTAATCACTGTTTCGAGTAAATTACTCGGAATTGTCTAGTATATATATACTTACCTTACTTCCGTCTCGTTCGACACTGATAGAGACCACAGCGGCTACAAATGAAAAAAACAAGGGTTGAAAAAATAATGTATTTATTCAAACCGTATCTAAACCGTCTCAGACATCATAATATTGTATGAAAATTTTCACTAATGAAAAACATATTATTAATAACTTAAATGTTACTTTAATACCGTATTCGTAAGTGGTAGGTAAAATGCATGCTTTAATAAAGATTTTAAGTTAACTTTGATTGATATTTATTTCGTATAATTCGAGTCTATTCAAATATTAGCACTACGTTAGTCATTTTTAAACTTAAAACATCAATCTGAAGTTAGGAGTTGGACACTGTAAGAATCTGACACTGACTGTTAGATGCAAGAAACATGTGTGCATCACTTATGTTGTTCTCTTTTATACAACCTTATTACAAATTGATATTGTTTCTTAATATTTAATCATAAGGTTATTGAATGCTCTAAAAGAAATAAATGCTCTAAAAGACTTTTCAACAAGTAAAGTAAACTATGTAATGAATGTTGTACATAAAATATAACTGATTTGTAAATCAACCAAGAAACCATTCAAAGCGATCAAAAATTTAAAACGAAACTCAGAAAAGATACACAAAGCTGCCTAAAATGTAAAAATTATGATATATTATTCAAAACATTCGGCAGAGCTTGATATTTTTTATGATTGAAATTAATACAATTATTATGATAAGGAATTAATAAAAAAGCATGTAATAACTTACATTTGAAATGCAATACCAGTAAGAAATAAATCAAGTAAATCATCGTCCGCATGATATCGATGCTCGCGTATTCACACGTAAGATGGCTTAACTAAATAACAATGCGTAGTCTATATTCGTATTTGAATATATACAAACACATCTTCAGCTGCATGGCAACAAATGACATATATGTAAATAATTGAAATGAATAAAAATAAAGTTGGATTACGTTAATATATGCGCACTGTATTCAAATTACTTTTTGATGTAAGTAATATAAACGTTACATCAAGGACATATTGAATTTACCTCAAGTTGTATAATGAAATAAAACAAAAGTCACTATGACATTAGACATTAGTATGAAACAAATACAGCGACAGGGTTGAAGATCATTATGAGTCTTTAAGATTTCAAACCTCTTATTATAATTTATTTTTTCATTTAAACAATATGGTATCTTTAATGGCAACATACTAATAAAATGATTGTTTGAGTAGGAAGCTAAAAAGGTTTCTTTAAAAAAAGAACTCAGTATAATATTTTGTATAATTAAAGTTAAGTTTTAATGATTGTAACTGTGTATTTAGCAAGACAGGTATATACATTTCTGTATTTTAAGCATGTCCGCAAGTATATGTAAACTGAAACATTCCTAACATCTGCATGAGGGATGCAATATCTAATAGTTGTCTATTGGAATGGCATAAAAGAATCTCACAGAATACGTATGAGTTTTTGAAATCTATATTATAGATCAACATTTGAACCAACTTTTGAATTGAAAAAAGATGTAGAAATGTCATTTACATGTCATTTACATGTACATGACACTATATTTCATATTTTTGGTTGTACATTTTGCATTGATGTCTTAATATAATTTTGATTCCAACACTGTATTTAAATGAATTGTTATGTCTATTATTTACTACATCAATTCTGAAATCATTTATTATACTCCTGGATTAATGGTTTTTACATTACTATTTGAATAAAATGCGTCCGGTGTTACGAAGTAAAGTGACCACATATAATATTGACCCTCCCCAATCCCTGGTCAAAATTTTACGGCCTCCTTAAACGAAGAAAAGAACACTTTCCAAAAAGATGACCCCTTTTATTTGTTTGTCATTTGTTAAAAGAAAGGTAACCCATTTGATAATAGACGAACAGTTGATGAGTTGATGAAGATTTGCTTAAAATAGAAACATGAAAATTTCCTTTTCAAGTTAATAATGACTGCATAAAAATATATTAATCCTTTTCTCAATTGCAAAAGTTGTACGAGAAAGTATCTTTACTGTAACAGAACAATAATTTTGTCATTTGGTTTGGATTGTTTTAGAAAATCACAACATGTTTTTACTTTGTTAAACAATGTTTAAAAAAAACAATTAAAAAATAAGTTTTTCGTTTAATACTTTTTATTGATAAAATTAAAGTTTAATAACATGGGAGACAGAGACATATATATATTACCAAGTCAATTTCTTAAGGGAAGCGATTGGCGAATGGTAATAGTGTATTTCACTTACTTCATAGATTATCGGTTCGAGCCTTACTATGGTCTCGACTATGGCTCTTCAAATTACATCAGTGTAGATAAGTTCAAGGACAAGGACTTATGAGAGGTTCTTAGAAGCTCCTTTCTTTTCTAATTTTATTAATGTCTTAGATTATGTTAGTATGGGGGTAAGCATGGGTCGTGAACAATATCATCATAAAGTTTCAGATAAGGTAGAGGCACATCGTGTCCTTTGTAGAATTTCTTATGCTAGGTAAATATTTTTCAGGAGGCGTAAGTACGTAACATAGGAAAAGATGATTAATTAACTTGTTTGTTGTTCAATAATCTTGAAATAAATTGCTTTTGAAATATTTTACTAATATAACTGAACTTTACAGCAACAGTGAACATATTGTCACGTATAAATCTATATAAAATATGACTGCATTGGAATTTCTGTTTTTTACTTTATATAAAGAAGTTTTATGAACATTTACATGATAAAACATCTTTTTTGATGTCTTTATATAATAATTGTTCAAACATCTGTATTATAATTGCTTTCCATATATGTGGTAAAAACCATTTGAAAATTATTTGTTATACTTAGATGAATAATTTTTACCTCATATATACAGTGACGCACCCTCATTGTTAAAGTTTTGAGTCTAATCTCCACAGCATGTCTTGAGAACAAAAATGTTTGTTAGTTTGTTTGTTTTAGGTTTAACGTCACATCGACACAGCATATGTCATATCGCGACGTTCCAGCTTTACTGGTGGAGGAAGATCTCAGGTGCCCTTCCGTGCATTATTTCAGGCACGAACGGGCACCTGAGTAGAACCACCGACGTTCCGTAAGCTAGCTGGAGAGCTTCCTCACATGAAAGAATCCAAAGTCCCTGTCGGGATTCGAACCCACAGCGGTGAGGGGCAAGTGGTTTGAAGTCAACGACCTTACCCATTCGGCCACGGACGCCCCTAAGAACGAATATGTATGAGTGTATACTAAAACAGGTTTAACGGCAGGTTTGGAGTTTGAGTTACGTTGCAAAAGAAAGATAAAATGTAATTTTACAGGGTCTTTGACGTATAATATGATAATGGGACCAGATTTAAAATTAATGTATATAGTTCTTTTGGATATTTTTGGATATAATAACAAGACTATAATATAACTTTGTTTAAATCTCAGATAAGTAGAACATGAAATGCACTTAAAATTGTGTGTAGAATTGCAGGCAAGATATATCATAGTATTTGTGAAAACATTACAGTAAGATACGGGATTTTGAACCATTAGGCTAACAAACCGTTCTTAGGTCATAGAGACACAAATTTGCCTTTTCGGTATTTAAGAAATTGTGAAAATTATTTTCAAATAACGTTTTATTATATATTTTTTCTTCCCTCAGATTGGTCTGTTTCTAAATAACAAAAGTGAAATTGCTATTGAGCATTTGAAACACCCGTATAACAAATTAAAAGGCAATTGTAGTGACTCTGTTTAATAAATTGTTTTAATTGCATCTGAAAACATATTTACTTATACATAATGCCTGTAATGATTCATTAAGTGAATTGATAAAAAAGAAAGCCTTTTACATATTTCAATATAAGGTCAAGTGTATTCTTTGTAATAATTGTTATCTTCTCTTTAAAGATCAAATCTAATACAACACATTGTTATTGATATATAGTTAATTTGAATTCAAAGAGAAACAAATCTCCTTAGATTTGCAGCTGTATTAAACGTTAACATGTTTGTTTAATAGCGTCTGTGATTTGCGTAAAACCAAAAATGATGCGATTCCCATGACATGCTGACACATCTGGTCTGGAGGCCTAACTGAAGTGATGAAATCAAATAATATCCAAGTAAAGATTAAAGTAAAAGCTATCCGATAAGTTTCCATAAATAAATAAAGAAGTGAAATTCAAGATATTCTGCTGCAATGCATGCATATAAATAACGCAATAAATATTAAATAAAGTGGTCACTTTAAAATCCTGTACTTGAAGTAATGATATTTGCAAGATGTCATATCAGTAAAATTTTCTGTTCTGTCAAAGTCTGTTTAGATATAACTGCATAATCATAAGTTTGGCCAAAACGACGTCTTTCCTTAAAATAAGAGAACATTTTAAAATTGCTTGTAAGGCTCCTTTTAAAAATGACAAAATCCATCCATATAGATGAACTTAGCAAAACAATGTTTTTGAACTGATATATTTTCAGTGATATTGAAACAAATACGATTTCAAAGCAAATAAAAAAGATTAAAAACAAAATGAACTACTATTTCAAATTTAATTCGGAATCTGTTTTCAGAAATTCTTTAAAAGAAATATAGTCTTAAAGCAATATTTGCGAAATAAATATAGAAATAAAAAAAAAAAACACATAATTTAAAAACCAGAATCTAATGCGTTGTTAAAGATGTCTTGAGTCGACTCATTTGTCTCCGTTACAAAGCATATAAAATAATTGATCATCGCTTGAACAGGAAAACGTCCGTCTACAGGCTTAAAGGCCAGGAAGAATTCGTCGTCTACTGAAATTTCATTGTGCCGACTTGCAAACATGTTAGTAAGAAATTCTTCTTTTGAAATGAAATAGTCATCGTTCAAGTCCATTGTTTCGCACCAATCCAAAATGAACTCGCGCATCATCTCCGTAAATACTTCTTTGTTTGATTCATATTTTTGCTTCAACATCTTTACAAAGTCGTCTGTAGTGAGTTGCATGGTGTTATTCAAAATTATTTTCCTCCATACTCGATTCATTCTTTTTTCGATCTCCTTTAAGTGATCATCACTCAGGTCTTGATCTTTGTAATAGTCCCTGTTAAAAATACTATTTCATTGAACGACTTAGGGAGCATTGGAAATTTGTCCTTCAATATATAAATAATTACACTTGCCTTTTTTAAAGTTTTACTTTTTGAAAGGGATTAAAAATCGAGTACCATACATTTTGCTTCTGAAAAGATATTTTGAAGAAAAATAAGCATTACTGTCAATCATTGTCATTTGTCATTACGACTCTTATATGAGTGGTTTGATGCCAGGTTAGTTACTAATGCATTGCATATATATCAAAAACTCCAACTTTGTATTGTTTGTTAATATACGAATTAACGAATGAAAAACAAATCGCTTATATTCGAAGTCTATATTTTATTTCTAACAGATAAATTCCACATCCTTTTAATTAATTATGGAGCTGATAGCTTACTTTCGCTGCCTCATTGTGTTACATTTGGCTATGTCGATGTGATCAGAACCTGTGTGCTGTGGACAGGTGCAAGATCTATTTTTTATAAATAGAGTATATTCTTTTTTTCTACGTCCCCAAAAGATGTTTAAGGTACAAAATTATTTTCTTACTTACTCAAAGAGTATTCTAATGGTCATCCATTTGTAAAGAACCCATCTGATTGAAATCATTTTTGGTTTAGACCACTTTTTTCCCAACTTTTCTACTTAAGGTATTTGTTTGCCTTTAAAAAAAATCATATCTTTTGAAAACAAAAGAAAGTAATAGAAAAACGATTTCTGCCGGTTTCATTTAACCATGTTTCAGTATATAAATAGTAAAACAATTTAAAAACAACATTTTGCTGTAAAAAATTGTAAATTCA